CATTTGAAATTATGAGAATTCATAAGTGTGGGTAGATTGCATTGTTATCACAATTTTGGTGCAAAACACACCAAATAGCAAAGAACCAGATAGAAGCAAACCTCTGAGCACTTCTACAAGGTTCTTAAGCACAGCAGCCAGGGCTGCTCACTGTTGTGTTCCACTTGACATCTTGGGGAACAGGCGTAGAGCGATGACACTAATCCCTGACACCTCTTGTTTGTAGGGWGCTCTGCCCCAGCCAGGCTCAGCTTCAGTTCTTTGACTGTCAGATGCCAACTTCTGCTTCCAGCCCCAGGTTATTTCTAGCTGGTCTGTATYAACCTGATTTTCTTCCAGTGTTGTTCTTCAATTAGAAAAACATTTTCCTTCATCCTGGTTCTTTTTTGGGGTGGGATTATTCTCTCTAGCCCTCATTTTGCTGAAGTGAACAAGCTGTGCTCTTCAGCAGTCTTTGCTAAGATGTCATGTGAATGTTCTGCTCTGGATTTGCTATGGTTGGGGTTCATAATTTCTTTGCATGAGTGATGGGAACAGAACRCAGTATGTCAGTTGAAATTACATTAGGACAGTAATGCATAATTATGTTCCCTGGAGGAAGAAGACACCTCAATTTATACCTCCCCAGGTCTCATTTGCCTTTCCTGATGCTGTAGTACATTGATGTCACACACTCACTGAGGTACAGCGAGATCTTTATCCTTTAGAAATAACAGAAAATCCAGTACTATTGCTGTATGGGAACTACGCTTTTTGCCACCTGTCTTTACATCAGCTATCAGACTCAGGTTAAGGATGCTCAAATGAATGCCTAGATTTTCAGAAATCATCCATTCAAGCCAWAGGCATCTCTCTTGCCTATAATCAGTGTATATGAGAAGAGAATCAGTCTCTCCTTTTATGCAGTGATATCCGCCAACTTTGTAAGTGAACCCTCAAGAGAAGAGGTAGACATTTTAAAAATCATCCCAGTGGGTATATTTGTGTTAGCATGTGAGGGATCTGCGTTTGGAACAATGAGCAAATTGCTATGCTACTGAATCAGCYGCATTTCTATCAAGTTTGTTCCTGAGTTGGTTAGGGAAGCACTGACTAACTCCAGAAGTGACACATTTGGTGTCTCTTTTCTTTTGCTGCAAAGTTGTTCAGTACTAGTAGAGCTTTTTGTGATGGACATCATCGCATTAGTCCTCTGGGTCGCTTACTGACTCTCAGCTCTGCCATCATTTATTGGCTTGCACTCTAATAGTCAGCATGGTGTGATGGGACAGATAGCCCAGTAGTGTCCTGACTTTTCCTCTGGCAGTGTACATCCCATGTCCCTGGGCTGAGAGGCTGCTGCTGTCATCATTCTGCACGCGAGCATCTGCGCTCAGCTGGCTCACTCAGCTCCCCAGCCTGCCATATCCTTCAGTCTCTGTTTARTGTCACTCATTGTGCTTAATCTGGTCATGATGAAAACCAGCCAGTGCTAGAATCTCACTGTGTRCAGAGGTGCAGATAATCCCTGTGGGTAAAATGCAGATTATAACAGAAGATATAAAGGCTGAAATAAGAGTAAGACATGTAAAAGGACTAAATAAAAGGCTTKCAAATTCTGTGTAGAAATGAAGTAGTGAAGAAGGATATATTACAGTGCATAATCCTTTTGGCTGATGGTGGATAACAGCGAAGAGGAAAAGATGAGATCGATCTAGTATGAAATGCACAGCTGCAAGGATACTTCCAGCAAGTGAAAGAGAGAGCAGAGGTATCTGTGTACAGCCAGCACTGGGCAGAAGAAATCCAGCTGTGACTGTTAGGAGTGCTATAGATATCCCTAACACTTCAGTTCATCTTCTACTCCCTGTCAGTCTTTTGCATCTTTAGCTGGTTCCTCTCTATCACTGGTCCTTGTCCTACATGGTTATAGAGGTTGTAAAGGGGTCCCCAGGGCCTGGCAGGGTGGAGASTGGGAAGAAGGTCCCAGACAGACTCTTGTTTTACCCTTTCCCATAGTGCCTGCTACACAGAGTCTTTTCCTTCCTCCTGAGAGATGCTAACATTCACTGAGGATGTGATGTGAGAAAGGAGTAATGCAGAAAATATTTATTGAGAAGCTCAYTTTTCCAGTGTCAGCAGATGAAAGGTCTGTAATTCCCAGTCTGAGTTCAGTTTTGTAAGGGGGAAGTATTCTTTGCAGGGAGAGGATAAAATAAAGAGAGAATTTAGAATATTTTGCTGAAATACTACAGAGCAAAAATTATACAAGGAAAATTGCTCACTATAGGCATGGAGGGTAATATTTCCTCAGCAATGGTGAAMTAAGAAACAAAGAAATAGGGAGGCAGAAAGAGAGCACTTTTCACAGCAGTAAACACAATAGCTTGTTGTTTGCTACTAATGTTATAATAAAAATGTCCTGGTATTGATAAAAACTGYGGCATTTGTATAAACCAGAATTACCACAGCTTCTTATCTGTCATCAAAATATGCCAGCCAAAATAAAACTGTTTTTATGACAGTAGTGCTTGCAGYGCCAAGGGCTCCGCTGCCCTACGGTTTGTCTTACTCCCAGACTTAATGTAGAATGAGGTGAAGCCAAGATCAAATCATCTTCGTTTTRCTGATCGAGAACACAATCTGAATGAATTTCTGAAGTTTAGCAAAAAATAAGCAGCTAAGTTAGAAATGAAATCTCAGAATTCACATCAGTATCTTTTCTGCAGGACCAGCTTTCCTTTCCAAACTATATTCATCATGCTAATCAAGCTGCCACAAAGTCATTAAATGGAGATGGACTAATATAAATATGAACTAAACATGCTTTTAGCACCTCAAGCAATYCTCCTCACAAAACAGAGCCTTTGATAAAATTGAAGAATAGGGAATGTAAAGGAGCATGTTGATTATTTGCTTCAGTTCAGTGTAAAAGGTCACAGTATTTCTTAAGATCAAACAGTCAGGTTCCATTTAGCTCAGCCTAAATGGGCTTAATTTTAATGGTAACATATATAACTGATATAGCACCAAGAAAGACATTGCAGGTCAACTCTCCTATACCAAACACAATCAGAGGCATTCAAAGACATGAGCTATTAATCTGTATGTACAAGACATGTCCTGCTACTTTTTAAATATCTTTATTGAATTATGTTCTAATGTAAGGAGAGAGGAACTATAATACAGAGACAGTTGATTAAAGTTGATATGGCACTGCCTAAAATGTACCTTTACAGGCCAGAGATATTCCAGTGCTTCCTATATATCTATATCTTCCTTAATAAATGTCTAAGGGTATCATTTCAGATAGGAAGAAATGAGAAAGATCTCAATGATGCAGACATTCCTGCCCACAGCTGCTGAAGACAAACTTGTATGAAGAACTGGAATGCTAAACTTTGCATCTCAGGTAAAGCTGGCTCTTCTTAATAATRTATTTGTCTTTAAATGATTTACCCCTTTTTGAGAAGGCAAATCCATGAACACATCTGGTGGCAATAAGGTGATATTTTCACTGAAAGAGCAYTGACAGCTACTGTCGCTGTCTGGTGGTTGATGCCATGCAGCTTTACAAGGGGGGAGGAGGTTTTGTGCTACTTTGAGTGAAATAAGGAGTGTGACATGCATTCAGCACAAGATTCAGCAAATGCRATTTTTAGTGTATTTTTTTTACCTGTGATTGTATCAGACAAGGTAAAAATGAAGCAAAGAATTTTATACTGTTCTATGGAGATACATGAATATTCATTTTATTAAATGCCTCTCTGTTTCTCTGACACACAGGAATATGTGCACTCTAAGGTTTCTGAGATAAGGCCTGAACTGCAGTTAGTGGAATGTGCTGCAGAGTGAATAGTACAAACAGTAAAAAAAACCCCAAACCCAAATGTATTTGATATTAAAGAAAAGTATTGTTTTGCTCATATCCACAAAGACCATGGGAGAGGTATTTCCAACAAAATAAGAAGAAAACAGGATGCTCAGTAGCAGATAAATTGTGATGGAATCCAGACACAGTGATTATTATTTAAGACAATAACTACTCCACATGAGTGGAGTGATTTGTTCT